TTATTATATAGATGTAGTTATCTATTTCTCTGGTTGGTCTTTTTCTTTCATTTTCTCTCTCTTGTTACCAGTTCTGGGGTACAATGCCTATTAATACTGTCATAAAAGGAATAATAGAGAATAAAGGGAGAAGAAATTACATCCAACCCACCCATTTGTAATCTAAGGAGCGTAGCATTTGCTTGGTGAAAATGTCTGGGATTCACAGTGTAGACATTATCCCAACAACTGAGAAGCTGGGGCATAGCCCTGGGATGGGACTGGGCAGAGCTTGTCCTTGGGATGGGGGAAAACACCAGGGCGCCTCTACCATCTGCTTGGACATCCCTCCGAGGTGGCCCCTGGCCACAGCGGGAACCCCGTGATCTAGGGCCCACCTGTGTGCCGGCATCACCTGTTACGCTCGCCCACACTGTTCTTCCTCTACTCACAGAACAAATCTTTCACGTGCACTTTGTTCATGCCCTTCGAAGAGTTCGAAAAACTTCTGACGAGAAGCAATGTGCTGGATTTCTTCCACAAATACTTTCCAGATTCCGTTCCTCTAATCGGAGAGTAAGTGTCCAGAGGTGCAACTGTGCCCTTTGCTCCCTTGGTTTGAGTTATTCGAAATTCACATAAAGGTATAAGTTTTATTTCAGTCTTGCCTCAGTGTGACCAGTTGTGCGGTAACCTAGACAGGAAGATGATATTGGCAAAAATCTAAGGGGATGCTATGCTGTGAGGGGGATGCTGTGCTGTGAACAGGAAGCTGAACAACCGCAGGCCATAGTCAGTTTCTCTGGGCCAGACGACTGTCCAATGTCTGTAGGCCTTTCTATGTCCCGTTCAGGTTCCTGGTGGATATGCAAATCTGTGGCACAGCAAGTACAGTCAGTGCAACAAGTCTCAGATCCACCACTTACTAGCTGTAGAAGCTTCTCCTACGTTTCCTCCCCTCCAGAAAAATGGCAATAATAATCCTACCTGCCCCAAAGGCTTATTGTGAAGACTAAAGGACATCATGTCTATGAATCATTCAGCACAGGGCCTGGCACATAGAAGGTTCCCCAGACCGATAGCTGATTGTATTAGTTGTCTTCTTCATGACCCACGGCTCCTCTGGCCCGTGTCAGAATCGCTCTCCGTGAGGGCCTTGTCGTCTGTTCTCATTCAGTGCCCCTGTGCCCACTGTCTCTTCCTCTTGGATTCCAGCTCACTTTCTACCTCCAATGATATCTTCATAGAGGCAGCACGATGCTACGGAAAGACCGAGATATTAATGCTGCTTCTGCACCATCCGTCTTTGAATCTCAGAATTTTCATCCTTAAAATAAGCATCAAGAAACCTACATTTTGGGGCACTTGTAAATATTAAATGAGCTAACAATGTAAAAGGGAGAGGCTAGAGCCAGCCAATAGCGAGTGTTTGAAAAACGGTCAGTTTTCATTCTTTCCTGCAGATTGATTCAGTCTGCATTGATCTCTCCTTTTCTGAACACCAGTTTAGCCCTCATGTTCCACAGCTGTTCCTTGCCTCTCCAACAGTATTTAAGATCCTTGAGGTTGTGTACTGTTTCTCTCCACAAAACCTCTGTAGATGTTTGACAAACACTAGCTTGATTACAATTGTCCACTTCCAAATACATATAAATTCACATTAATTTTAATTTTAGTTTGTTGTGATTTAGTCAAATACACAGCAGCATCTCAATTTTTCCATGAAAACCTAAAACACACCAACAAAGTTGGAAATTGTATAGCTCGTGTGCATGATAATGAAATTTTCATGTCATATAATGCAGACATATTTCAAGTTATTGAAATGCAGTCAAACATGGTTTTCTTTTTTCTTTTCTTTCTTTTTTTTTTCTTTTTTTTTTTTTGGATGTGATTAACATTGTTGTAAACCAAGAAGGTAATTAGAACAATCTAATTTTGGGACTAGAAGACACTCCAGTTTCTCCTGTTCCTGTTTTCTTCCTGACATCCTCATGTTTTTGTTCAATAAAGTCCTATGGTAATAAAGTCAGTAAATGTAAAAGAATAGTGTGGTATTTAATACCCAATTTAGCATCTTTACGTTCTGATTATTTTCCTCTAAAGGCAAGCCCTGGCACAAGATTTCTTCCTATTGCCTCCGCAGCCCATGATATCTGTAAAGTGCTCTTCTTTTCACTTTAAATCACACTGTGTGCTGATGGGAGACGCAGCTCATGCTATAGTGCCCTTTTTTGGGCAAGGAATGAACGCGGTAAGTTCTTTTTCTCTAGGTAAGTCCCTGAATTTTTCTGGGTCGGCCGCAACTAAAAAATCTTAAATATAAAACATGTTGAAAACTCTCTTCACATAATCTCTGAGAAAACAATCAATTCAACGATCATCAGCTGTTTAACGAGATTGGTCCCTAACTACAGTCAAATCTTGGATTACTTGATCCAGTATTTTAATGTGGAGAGAAGCAGAAAGTGAAAGACAGTTTTCTGTGCAGTCAAAAAATGCATTGAGAGCTTGAAATGTGGAAATGACTATCGGCAATTCAAGACTTAAGTTTTAAAATATTTTTTCTAGAAATTACTCATAAGTACATAAATGTTAGGCTCAAAAAAAGAAAACGATCCCAAATTGTGTTTTATTTTTCTTCACTGTTACTTTCCAAAAGAAAGGAAAACACAATTGACACTGTTAAATAAAATTATGAAACAGATTAGATGTTGAATACTGCTGCCTTCATGAAAACTTTACTGTTCTGGCTAGAAATATATTTCAGATAAGAAATAGAGTTCAAACATTGTGTTTGTATTTGATAACCAGTGGCTTTAAAATCATAGTTTTCTTTTGTTTTTGATTGTTAGGCTATGTCCCAAGAATATATAGATTGCGAATCTAATCAATTGTATTTTCCACAAAGCAGTGGTAAACATTTTGTTTTATGAAAACATAAGAACGCACCAATTGTAGCTTAGTAGATAAGTGCCCGCCCAGGTTCTAGTATCAGAAGGCCAGAGTTCAAATCCTGACTCCAGGATTTGTTATATTATGTTCTTACACAACTAACTTATCTTTACTTCTTTATCTGTAAAATTGGGATTTTACATGAATTAATTAAGTATTTTAAAATGTTATTATCTCAGCCCTTGATGGGTATCTCTCATCTCTAAATTCCTATTGAATTAATAGTCTATATAATTGACAAGTATTTGCTTCAGATGTAATCTTTATAACTGATGTAAAAATTATTTTATTTTTTAACTTTTACATGTTTTTATACTGTCTCTAAAACTACGGCATGAATTTCTAGAAAGCAGGTTACATAGCTTTTGATTTTCTTCTTTTCCACTGCATTTAGCATAGTACCTTACTAATTTTGTGGCATTCTTGATATTGGAAATTTGCTTTAATCTTATAAGAGTTCTAGCCTGTCATTAAATTTCTTTAAATATGAATATTAAAGACCTGAATAGTTTGAATATAATTCTAATACTCATGCTAGAATACTATAATTTTTCTGGCTCCTTGAAGAAGCAATGAAATCCATCAAAATTATAAGAGTAATTTAAAATTTTGATCACATTCCAAATCATTAAAATTAATATATATGTGTGTGTGTGTGTGTGTGTGTGTATGTATAT